AAGTTTAGCCTCTGAAAATTTGGGATACCAGCGTACAGGAAATTGTTCGAAGCCTGAGTTGCAAGAATACATTCGTGCATTATTCCGAACAAGTATTCAAACACATCTTTGAATTCTTGGGTCGTACGAGATTTTGGGTTAACATTTAGGTCGTCTGGAGGTCAACTACCCTGACTTGCGATTTCTGTGATTATCCTCAGATCCTCCAAGACCGCTTTTCACATCCTTCGAAGTTCATCAATGTTACAACTAAAACACATCTAACGAGTGTTACGATAGTACATTGATTATAGTTGGTGAAACAACGTCGTATGAAGAAGTAACTGAATACGATAAGCAATATTAGCAGTCGATAAAGCATAGTTAAACAAAGAATAAATGGATTAGTAAATTTTTTGAGATATTTTCTGGAGGGTTTGTTCAGAAATATGAATAAGGCTCCGAGAAGACGACAGACCGTTTCAGAATGATAATCGGAAATTGGAACGTGAATAAAGAACATAACGTACTAACGAGGACAGTGGTGTACTATAAAAAGCTCATTTAATAAAGTTTATGCCGGTTACTAGGGTTCCTTTTACAGTAATGTAATCCTCCTGTTTTATGTTGTTTGCTTTCCGGGTTCTGTCTGTAAATGCAAATGGAAGATAATACGGACGCATGAAGCATGCACCGACCGTTACTGACCAGGACAGTGCGATTTAAATCGCATTTAGATGAACTGACTGGCCGGCTACCTAAAAAATCAACTTGCTTACCAACTCCATCGAACCCAGTACTTCTTGAGAATCTTACAGTCGCTCATATAGTCAAAAAATTTCCCAAGATCCATTAATGCTTTCACGAAAGCCCGCAATTGGACAATAACCTGATCCATATGAGTCTATTTCACATTCTGAAGCCATAGTTTATTACAATTCATTTTAATATTATCTTCACATGTACTCCTGTATCTCCCAAATAGAAACATGTCTATTCAGGTTACATGGATTACAATTGTTTCATCTGTAGGACGTTTCTGGTATCATCTTCCTTTTGATTTATGTTGATAAAATAGCTTCAGAGTTTAGTTTGAAGCATTTGCTATGACGTTTTCTAGTAAATGCATTTGACACATTCTTAGTTGCTGTACTATTATCTGCTACTCCAATTTTCGTTTAACATCTTCATGTTGATATCGCTCTTAAGAAATGCATTTTTGCATCTCCATTATTCTTAGGCTTACTCGTTCTTTCATTAACACTCAACAATCGGATCAATAGATTTCACGTTTTAGTTTATCAAAATCCCTGGACTTCTGAATATAGGATTTGGGAATGGTGACAAATGAAGCAATGTTTATGGTTTACCAGTCAATTTTCCATAAAATATTCATAAAATATTATAGTAGCTCACATCGGAATAGCGCCTCATTCTATCGTTTCCGATAACAAATATTTTTTGGATTAGATTTCTTGAACACGTAAGAAGAAAACTGTTACAGGAGCTGGGTTCGGTTCCCGAGGCTTCCAACAGAGCTCGAGAGTTTTCGTGTATGGCAAAGTTGCCCAAAGGGTTGATCACAACGTCGTGAAGTGGTATGGCCGCTTTCCCCCACGGAAGAACCCTCACACTCACTATAAAGGAGACTGGATGAGCTCTAGAGCCGATCCAGACTTGGTGGACCATGCCGGGGTTCAAACACCGATCGTCCGGCTCATAACTAATCACTATATTGGTTGAGCTATCCAATTTCATACCAATGAATGACAGTAACTGTTGAATTTACAATAACAGTAAGGCCATTTCAGGTTGTGGGGAAACTGTACTGTGGACGACGAATTAAAACGCGAAAAGAAATCGTTAACTTACCACAAAGAAGTAATAATTAAGAAAATCATTAATTGTAAAGACAGATCTATTCTTAAGGGCACTAGAAATTATTTTGTCAGAATAAGAAGAAAACGGTAGACAGACGTGAATAAAAGAGATGGTTTTAACCATAATGAACGACAGAATGGAGAGGAGAGATAAAATATATTAAAGTTCTATCAATACGAGGTAGAACTGATTCAGGAGCAATGGTGCATACCACAACAATCAGCTGTTACGCAGAAGGGTCCTAGTGTATTATTTGCATAACTAAATTTAAATATTATTATATATATATATATATATATATACATACTCCCATCTACTGTACCTACAAACAAAATATATATATATACATTTAGGGAACACCCTGCTCCTTTTCGTCCCATTTGCCTCACCCCAATGCTGGTTAATTGCAACATGTGGCACTGACTACACGGGGACGGGCGGTTTGTTCATTGTGCTGAAGTAAGAGGGTGGTTTAGTTATTACAGGCGGCACACATTGTTCGCATTGATTGAGACATGTGCACTAACACACAGCGTGTCAGAAACAGCCTCACTACACAATACGAAATCACGCTCTGGAGATAAAGCATGAAAATTAAGTTAAAACTGATTAATTACTTCCACCTGCTAAGAAAATTAAGCGTTTAGTGAGTATGAGTTAGTGACAATCCAAAGCGAGATTCTGACATCAAAATAATGTGATTCTGTGGAATAAACATAAAAACACTTGCGTTATACGAGAAATTATTTGTTCAATACAAATATAATACTCTAAAGAGTAGAAACAAAGTATTAAATAAGAAAGAATCGAAATAATAATTTGGGCTAGAAGCCTGTTACTTCTGTTTTCCTTAGATGACAGACAAGTCAAAGTTTTTAACCAAATACCATTTCCTTGCGTAATATTTTAGGATTGATGGCTTTAAAAGTCCCAAAACCTATTACGCACAGACATTATCCGTGGTCATGTCTGTAATGCCCACAACACAAAATCCCTTTGTACAAGAACAATGTGATATATTAATATAAATAAATTTTTGTTAAAACCTTAAGTTTACGACAACAGAACATTATTACTGTCTGTTGGATTCCTGTTTAAAAATAGTTGGTATGTGCTGTACTAAATTTTATATAAAATCCTTCCTGTTATTAGCAATGCTTTAAAAACTTAAATTATGTACGTCTGTAAATAAACTTACGTATTTATTCCACATGCGTGTTTTTATTTTACTTTTGGCGGATTATCCAGAAAATATATTTCTGAAGTAACCCGGATAATCGGGAGTCTACTGTAAGTGTCCCTCATTCGCTTTCATGAAAGTCCTTGACCTTGAGATATACTTAGTATTTTAATAAAAATCAATTTGTTCTTCGCACACACGAACATTAATTTACTGTAATTTCAAGTGTTCATACCGACCGTAATGTTGAAGGATTATCAAAATCAATACAAGCTTCATTAACCTTAATAAAACATAAACTTTTAATATTAGACACGGCCAAATATCCGAATCACGTAGGCCTATATCTCTAGGGTGAGTATGGACAAAAGTTCTTCTAATTCTATTTGTCTCACAGCTACAATAAATCTCTCTCTAGCACTTTCAGGGCTGCCAAAACAAGATTAAGATCGCTCTCTGTAAGTCGCACTAATAATTCTTACATTTTTTTTAAAAATACCCGGAAAACGAAAGCGCACAATGGAGATAGGACAAATCTGAAGTAATGTTTCCTTTGCACCTCGCCACAAAACTATTTTTTTTGTCATTTTTCACTTTTATTTTTAGTCCTTTCCTGGCGGTGTAAATTCAATTTAAGGGACACTTACAGGTCGTTTTATTGGATTTTATCTAATACACTTCCCTCATTAATCAAGATAATAGTTCAAATAATAAAAAAATCTACTGACTACAGGGAATGTCGGTAAAACACAGCTTTAATATTTTGGATGAAACATTTTATGTTGTTCCTTTGCTGCTTGGAGCACTGAATGGTACAAGATCGCTGTTTCTTGATAGTCGTGTCTGCATGGAACAATACCACTGACTGGGGCTAAGCTGCTTCATTTTTAACACGATAAGCTTATCGAGTAATCGAAAAATATAAGTTAGAAAAGTCAAATTTCGTCTTCACTCTTGTGAACATAAGCGCCAAGTGCGATATTCGTGTAACTCTACTTAAATATTTCCGGGTACATATTTTAATTTAAAATTCACAACAAGCTTAGATTTTAACTTTCTAAATACTCCGAATTTCACGTATCTAATTTCCAAATATTTTTCTGGGAACTTTGTTATCAAACTGTTGTTTTTCCCCCAAAATAAAACAATTATTTTTCACAGTCACATGCCGTATAAAACTTGAAAATGCAATGTTCAGTTTTCTGAGAAGCAAAAGCAGAGGGGATCATGACATGAGGAAATGAGTAACATCTGTGAAAGTTTAGTCTTGGCTGGCTGGAAAGAATAGACAATGGCAGGAAAATTCGCTGGTTCTAGGATAAAGATATATAAATAAAACAAATTATAACCCAAATACGAATGATACTTACAGCCTGAATTTCATATTACGTGTCATTTAACAAAACTACCACTTCACCCTTAATTTCATCTGTAAATTTTATAACAACATTTCTATAGTTTTTAAAAAGCCAATAAAAATTATTTGTTAGAACTTTATAATATTTTTCGTTGTTTACTGAACTTTAAGTGACAAACCTCTTCATCCTAGCATTGGCGATTACTAATAACTGAATTTCATTTCTTATGTAGTTATTTAATATAACGTTTTTCGTTATTCAAATTGCAACGTAGATAAAAGTCCACAATAGGACAAACATATTTAGAATTTTTTCAGGTAGAATAAAACAGAGACTCTACACACGTAAGAGTTCTATATGGGATCTTGTTAGACTTTACGTGATACATTTAAGTGGCAGACAGACTGGGACAGAAGAGAATAATAAAATCAAGCAACAAATGTGACGACCGCTAAATTAAAAACCATAACATATGTCTGGGCACATAGAGGATAAGAACTAAGGGAGAAATGGGAAAGGGTGTAAGAAATGCAGGTATGAATTACAAGATGAACGTTGCTTGCAACAAGGTTTTAAGTCACAAAGAGGAAAATTTCACCGACCTTCGCCTTGTATTTGGGATCCGTATGGCAGACAGGAACACATATGAAAAGACAAGAAAGAAAATAGGAATATAGATTAATGTCGTTAATTATACCTATGTAATTAAATGTTTGTATAATATATCATAAATCTCTACGCTTCATTCTCAAAGAAAGAAGAAATTCTACAAGATTTGGCGAATCCCATATTTCTGACTAACGTACAGCCATGTGCCCGCACTGACATGAGCCTGGTACCCCTGAAAGAAAGGTAATTAAACAATGCACCTCATTTTAAAGTCTAGTAAAAATAAAATTCTAAACGTAGCTAGGACAAGAGCTGTTACAGTGTAACAGCCAAGTTCACACCTACTTCAGAGCATGTCACAGGTAAATGTTGCCTTCATAATGATAGGGCGGAATAATGAAGTTCATGACTGTACATATTATGTCTGCAGTTGGCGTCCGTCGAATTAACTTGAAGTGCTCCTCCATTTAGCCTTCAGCCAACAAAACTCAGTGCTACCAACGTTAACACTAATGAAAATCCAAGGCAGGTTTTGTACATTGCCCTTCACTAAAACGAATGTTTGCAGAACAGCTCGTAAGTTAAAGTTGAGAGACAAAGACAGAAAGCAGTTCTAGCTAAGGCACTTAAACTACGCAGTTAATGCATTTAAGAGGAAAATTGTGTCAGTGACTGAGAGACAGGACGCTGTACAAAGTTGCAAATGGGTTTGCCTCCTGCTGTTCCCCATATAAACGCATTTAAAATATTTTCAGTGACTACACAAGTACCAACATGCCACAGCATTTACTTTGTAGCACGAGGAAGCTGAAAATATCACCCATACTGTTGTATTACAAATATAAATATCAGATTTCAGATTGACGTATTGACCAAAATAAAGAAATAAATTATCATCATGGACAGTGTTGATATTCGTGTGCTTACAAGGCAAATTAGAGAGACTGATCAACTTTCAATGTCGGTGTGAGCAATGCATTCAGATATAGTTCTTCAGCCATTACTGCAAAAGACGTAAGCAAATTCAAGGACATCTTTAGCAACGAAATAACATTATCTTCTTTATGGACACTTTCTCGATGTGAACGAGTGTTTAGATTTATTGGCTACATCCATATGCTAAGTTCTGTTTTCACTTGTTCGTATTGCTTCCTGCTCTTTGTATTTATTTTATCTTCTTGTGCTGACTCTGAAATTGGCTCCTTTAGCTGTTAAATTAGCGCGTTGAAATACAGAACTGAATATAAATTCAGAATTGAATCCTTATTATTAAAAACTTAAATTAGGTTATATACATATCTCTGATGATATATTTATATATTGCCAAGAGTATTAAAATTATAAGTAGGAAATTTTCATTATTTCCCAGAACACATTTCAATGTTATTTTCTTATTTTAAATCGTTGACAGACAAATATTAAAATGTAGTTTTCAACGCTATTCCTTCGAGGTTTTCAACATGTTAAAATCTTATGAGAATCAGTAGAAGAACACTAATCATACACAAGATAAAAACAGAATTTAAAAGAATGCCACTTTGCAATATCTTAAGATCTTTTGAGGCCGCGTTACCTTCTCGCCGAACTTACTTTTCTATTTTAAGATTCTTACGAGAAGGCTACGATTAGTAGCTCGCCATTAATTGCAATGAGGGAGTTAGTACAAGGTAATTAAAATTCCACGCGACGTGCTGCAATTACAGGCCAACCACATAAATTTTGAACCAGTAGCTTCTCTCTCTCTCCCGAAAAAAAGGTACATGTATGTTCATGTGCGGTGATGTGTCTTCCGGGATACTCCAATATCACAGTGCCTCTGGCAAGACCCCCAGTTTTCACGACCCCTTGGTTAAGCTTTGTCATATCAACTGGCGAATGTCCAGGATCTTAAAATACACAGAGTGTGTTCACTGTGGGGTCCGCAGTGGCTGGGCGGTCTGAGGCGTGGGCCTTGTGCCGCTGGAACCATGGGTTCGAATTCCACTCAAGCCATGGATGATTGTCCGCGTTGTCCTGTGTACAGGTAGAGGCCTTGCGACGGGCCGATCCCTCGTCCAAGGAGTCCTACCGAATGTCTATAGATCAAGCCAACGAAAAGTTGGGACCCGCAGTGCTCAGGCACTTGAAGAACGGGTCTTTCCCAGTATCCCAGTGTTCACTGTAATTATCGCTCTTATCTGAGAATTGACATTCATCCTTTCACCAGTTACTGCTCAAGGTTGGTTAACAAATATGTGTGTTTTAATATTACAAAAATTCAGACATCTTTTATAGGCTACCACAAGTGTTTAGTTTCATATTGCAGTCTTTTCATCATTATTATTTTTATTTAAATTATTTGGCAGTCTAATTGGTTCCTGTAGATGTTGAGTTAGTACATTAAATTAAATAATTAACTGGATTTAACTGCACTGTTATTTATCAGTGTTTGTCCATCACAGGATCTTTGCTGTTGGCAAACACTCTGTAAATTATATTGTTAAACATTACTAATAACAACAATAGCAGCAGTAACAGTTATTTTTGCACAAATATATTTTAATGGAAGACAAGAAATTCATACTTAAGTTCTGCTGGAAAAATGCAAGCCAAGACTTCACGATAATAGTAAAGTGGAACTAAAACAGATATAGTCCAACAACGGATTCTTGTAAAGACGATGAAGAAAATTTCGACATAACACTAAGGACAATTCCTTAACTAGCTGAAGGGAATGAATTTCTGAAGACGCACTCTGTTCCTCTGCTCCATGGAGATAGTAAAGTCTGAAACTAAATATATACTAAACTAATTTTAAAGATTCAGAATATATTTTCCGCTATATCGTTTCCACGAGACTCAAAATGTCAAATTTTATTGAGTAGAAATAAAGTAATCTTTGAATACTTTGACGACCAATAAATATTAACAGTTTTTAGAATAACTGGCTTATAATAACAACATATTTGTGGGATTAACGATGTAAACTGTAAAATAAAAATAAATAATGACTATGCCTAGATTTAATATAATCGTGGTCTCCTAAGAGCGTGATACATTATTTTCGTCAATTTGAACACTTGAATCCAACTCCAGTATCCTGTTATATCACTAGAGAGGTCCCTGGTATCGCATTTCTAACTCCATTACCTTTACATAAAACACGATCTTTATATCAACTGCAGAACCTAATTTATAATACATCAAAAGAACCAATTATTTGCTATAGTCACTGCTACTTTCCCTTACAGCCCATGTACATATATATATATATAT